TGTATATCCATGGTTTTATCCTTGTTTTTCTAATAAACAAAGTGTGTCTCCATGTACTTACTTTCAAAAATTATTTTGTAGTTTTAAAGCTCTCCAAGAAATTGAGCATTTCTATCATGGGATACTACACCAATAAAATGTCAACTGTCAATTAAAATATCAATAAAATTGCATCATTGACTTTTTTTTCGGGGGGAGAGATTTTTGCTATAGGGCATGCGTGTTCTCCAGAGAGACAGAGAGACAGAAATCAGGAAATCACCCCAGGAGGATTGGCCATGCTGCAATCCCTTCTCCTCCATTCTCTTCTCAGGATCTTGGGCACACACACATTCTCCTGGTGAGAGTTTTAAGTCTGCTGGTCCTACATTTTTGACTTTTTACTAAAAATATTACATTGGATTAAAAAAATAATTATTTACCTTTTTTATTTATAATATATTTTAATAAAACATTTCCCTGCCATCTTTAAATAACAATAATTTGCATTTTCTAATATGAAGCTGCTGTAGCATCAGGACTTTATTGCTTCAGGCTCCACAGGCCTCAGATACCACTGCACCACTAACTTCCTTGTGCTCTTAAGGCGTGTGTTAGACATGTCTTCCTCTGTTGGATGTCCTTGGGGCAACTTCAGGAGCTGAATTCTTATCACATGGTTGATTATTTTCAGTTTTGCATTCACTGAAGGATATTCTTATGAACTTGAGGCATATATGCTTTTTCTTTCATTTTTTTAAGATATAGCAAAGGAGGAGTTTATTAGCAAAACAGGGAATTTATTAACAATATGAGGAGTTTATTAAAGGATAGGGAAGGGAAAACAGAGCTCCCAAGGAGGGAGAAGTCCTGGAAAATTGGTTACCAAGGAAGAACTGTGGCAAGGGGTTTTTATATGGGTCAGGAAGGTCTTTGTCCAGACTTGGGTTCTAGGTGGGGCTTTTACATGCATTCCTCTCCTGGTAGGGAGGGACACAAAACTGGATGGGCCCAATTATTCTCCTAATTTTGAAGTGGGTACCAAGTCAGGAGATTCTTTGTCTAGCTTTGGGCCATGGAAACCTTTATCTTCTTCCTGGAATGTGTTGGGACTTGGAAAAAGCCTTTGTTTTAGGTCTAGGTCATGCTGCCTAGGTCAGTCACTGAGCCACCATTACCTCCATCTCAAAACTTAGCCATTTTGTGATTCCATTTTGGGCCTATACCCTAATTATACTTTAGGGTCTCATTCTCCTCTCATGAGGAATAACCGCAGTCGAACCGCGGTCAACTACATGGGAGTCCAGTGACATAGCCATTATGCTAACTGCTGGTTCCTTTTTTTTTTGGGGGGAGAGGTTTTTACTATAGGGTGTGTGCACTCTCCAGAAAGACAGAGAGAGATAGAAAGATAGAAAGTGAGAAATCACCCCTCGGGGAAGATGACCACACCACAATCCCTTCTCCTCCATTCTCCTCTCAGATATTGGGCACACACGCACATGCACCCAGCATGAGTTTAAGCCACCAGGTCTGGGAATCCAACCGCGGTTGGCTACATGGGAATTCAGCGACATAGCCATTACGCTAACTGCTGGTCCCATTAAACATCTTTTTATATGTTTGTTGGCCATGCATACAACTTCTTTGGGGGAGATGTCCATGCAAATGCTTTGCCCCATTATTAATCAGTTTAAGATTTTTGTCATAAGGTACATGCACTTGCCAGAGTGAGACAGAGAGAGGGAAAGTGAGAAATCGCCAGGAATAGCCACACTGCCAGTCCCTTCTCTGTTCTTCTGCTGGAATTTTAGCACACAACCACATTTGCTCCATGTGATTTTCAAGCCACTGGGTCTGGGACTGTGGTTGGCCATGTGGGAATCCAGTGCCTTAACCACTATGCCACCTGCTGGCCCCAAGTTTGCTTTTACAGTTGAGTTGTAGAAATTCATTATATTTTTTGAATATTAGCCTTTTAGCAGATGTATGATTTGCAAATATTTTTTCCTGTTACACATTGTCTCTTAACTCTGTTTTTAAGCACAGATCAATTCTGATTCTTTTTTTTTTTTTTTTGGTTTATGCCATAGGGTGCCTGTTTGTGCCAGAGAGAGAGACAGATAGAGAGAAGGAAAGTGAAAAATCATTCCCTGGGGGATCAGTCACACCACAATCCGTTCTACTTCAGGATTTTGGGTGCACGCACACACACACACACACAAGTGCCTGGCATGATTTTCAAGCTAATAGGTCCAGACTCAAACTGTGCTTGGTCAGGTGGGAGTCTAGCACCTTAACCATCATGCCACCTGCTGGTCCCAATCTGCTTTTAATTTTAGAGTTTGTTCATTTTTAAAAATATGTAAAACATTTACATGGCTTACAAGTAAAATCTCTCTAAAAGGGTAGTGTCAGAAGATTCTTGCATGCTTCCATCTCTATCCTATCCCACTCCTCATACCTCTACCCCAGAGGTATGTCACTTGTGCTTACAGTGTTCCTTTATACAAAAATAAGCCATGTATTTGTATCTCTATATATTTGTATTCTTATTTCCCCTATTCCTTGCATAAAATGTAAAAATATTGGTATCTTGAAGCACTTAAATTTTTTAAGAATTATTTTATTTAACTTTATTTATTTATTTATTTATTTATTTATTTAAATTTGACTGGGGTGGGGGTAGGGAGAGAGAAGGAAAGTGAGAAAGCAAGCAGCCAGGTCCAGGACTTGAATTGCGGTTGGCCATGTGGGAGTCTGGTGCCCTTAACCATCATGGCACCTGCTGGCCCCTTGAAGCACTTAACTTTAAATTCTTTATTTTATTTTTAAAATCTGCAAGTAAGACTCATAATAATCAATTGCATGTAACCTTACAATTACATTGCTTATTCTAAGTGGTAAGTGATGAATACTTATTTAAAAATAAGATGGCAGTGAAGAATACTCATTATATCATCCTAAGAATTTACTGCTATTTTGTCTGTCATTCCTGTTCTTCCTCCCTGTCTACTGTAAATACACAGCTGCCTGGGAGAATTTACAAGCCGATATTCCCACAGTACTTTGCTCATAAACCAGTTTTGCATTCATTTCATCATTTTATAGTTATTTATATGTCTTTTCCCCCATAGTGTGTGAGATTTGAAAGTAGGAGTCATGTATTCTATTTCTTTTTTTATCTCAAGGAGCATGTTGTAAAGAAAGGTTCATAGCCTTTGGAATCTTGGCTCTACCACCTCCCAGCTGCATGAGCTTGTGCATGTTACTTCACTGCTGAGGACTTCAGTTTTTTCATCCATTAAGTAAGAATAATGTCCTCTTTCAGAACAATGATTAAATGTAAATAAGAAATCATACAAAAAAAAAAAAGTTACATTCAGATCCACTGGTAACTGAGATAGTGTGAGTAAAGGGCTCAGGGCATTTTCTGAACACTGAATGCCACTTGGCCAGCATTTTGTGGGTTGCTAGATTCAACATCCGTTTCCATTTGGGACACCAATTCTTTTGATAAATTTTACATATTTCATTGTTTACTGTCTGTCCCAACTAGTGAAAATGTCCATGTATATTTACTAACTTGAACACATATTGGGTCGTTAGAAAAGTCATGAAGTATTTTCCTGTTTTTCTTTTTTTTGTTTGTTTCAGTATTTTTTTAGTAGAAACAGATCTTCAACACATACTTTGTGTTTATAGAAATTCTACATTTTCTTAAGGGTTTTTTCAATTTATTTGGAAGCAAACTTAACATATTATTTATGCATTTGATTATTTATAGACATTTTTAGATTTTAAAACTAAATTTGAAAACCTATGCGTATTGTATACTTAATAATTCAAAGAACTTTTTGTATTTTCAAAAAAGCCATACAAAAATTGAACTCAATAACCTATATGTTCTAAATTTTTCCATGTTCCATTTCTTAATATAAAGAAATACTTGTTCAATATTATATATTGCTTACTGTCTAATAAGTTAGATTGTTAGAGAAATGTCAGTACATTGTCTCTATTTTTAAATGATATCTTTATCCACTTTCTTTCAGAGATGATTAAACACTGTACCATATACAGAATTAGGTTAGGGTGCTGGACTCCCACATGGCTGATCCTAGTTTGAGTTCTGGACCTTGAAGCTTGCTTCTCACTTTCCCTCTTGATCTCTGGTTAAAAAAAAAAAGTAATGGGAAAAGTTCAGGCTGGATGTTTAGCAGGCACTGCTTTCAGAGAGAACAGTTGTTATATTTATGGCCGGGATTTTGTGCTCACTTCAGAAGTCCCCACACAGACTACAGACTGTGACAAAAGATATAGAGTCTCTCATTTGTACAGACTGGATTTGTCACACATTTACCAAGTCAAGAATGCTAGATAAAGTGTTTCAGCCTCCAACTGCTGATCATGAAAATTATCGTGGGGATCCACAATATCCTCATAAACTGCATATTGTTACCAGAATAAACAGTACAAGACAGTGTCCATACTGAGAAAAAGATATAATAAGATGCTTGGATTAGAAAAAGCATATATGGGGAAACCCATTTTCTGGGATCCCTCCCTTCTTAGGAGCTCTATTTTCCCTTCCCTCTCCTTTAATAAACTCTCTGCTTTGTTAATAAATTTCCCACTTTGGAGATCGTACTTGAAGTATTGGATGCACCAACATGTCCCATGGTTCCAGCGCTGCTTTTGACTACCACATTACCATTTTTTCACCTGAGGGCTGGCTCTACCAAGTAGAATATGCTGTTAAGGCTATTAACCAGGGTGGCCTTACATCAGTAGCTGTGAGAGGCAAAGAAAGACTGTGCAGTAATTGTCACACAGAAATAAATTCCTGACAAATTAGTGGATTCCAGCACAGTGACTCACTTGTTCAAAATAACTGAAAACATTGGCTGTGTGATGGCAGGAATGACAGCTGACAGCCGATCCCAGGTACAGAGGGCACGCTATGAGGCAGCTAATTGGAAATACAAGAATGGTTATGAGATTCCTGTGGACATGCTATGGGAAAGAATTGCTGATATTTCTCAGGTCTACATAGAGAATGCTGAAATGAGGCCTCTTATGATCCTGCAGGTTACTACTGTGAGTTTAAAGCCACTGACACAGGAGTTAAACAAACTAAATCAAACCAGCTTCCTTGAAAAAAAAGTGAAGAAGAAATTTGATTGGACATTTGAACAGACAGTGGAAACTGCAATTACATGCCTGTCTACTGTTCTGTCAATTGACTTCAAACTTTCAGAAATAGAAGTTGGAGTAGTTACAGGTGAAAATCCTAAATTCAGGATTCTTACAGAAGCAGAGATTGATGCTCACCTTGTTGCTCTAGCAGAGAGACTAAACATTGTCATTAGTTTACCAAATCCATGATGCCACTTGCCTGTGTGTTTGGTGACAACAAACCAACATATGGAGGCCCCTGGATTGTAAAAGGAGCCTCTTCCACTCCTCCTACTGCTGAAGTGGTTAGGACTGTGTATAAATAAAAACAGTGCTTTTGGAAAATGAAAAAAATAAAAATAATTAAATTTCCTGCTTTGCTAATAAACTCCCCCTTTGCTATCCCTACTCTCTCTGTCTGCGACTCTAATTCTTCTTCTTCTTCTTTTTTTTTTTTTGGAGAGGTTTTTGTATAGGGCATGTGTGCTTGCCAGAAAGAGAGAGAGACAGAGAGACAGAAAGCGAGAAATCAGTCCCCAAGGGGGATGGCCATGCTGCAGTCCCTTCTCTTCCATTCTCCTCTCGGGATCTTGGGCACACATGCACACACGCCCGGCGTGAATTTAAGCCACCGGGTATGAGACTCTAACCATGGTCAACTACATGGGAGTCCAGTGATATAGCCATTATGCTAACTGCTGGTCCCTGCAACTCTAATTCTTCTTGAGTGTGGGATAAAAACCCGTGTCTGTGAGTGTGGGTCCTATCATCCCTGT